AATTTGGTGCACCACCAGTAATGAGCAAGTGTACCTATATAGAAAGTGTTTAAAGATGCTAGCTTACCCACAGATCCAGTGGGTTGATTGTCCCCCAAACATGTTAGACTTCATCTGCACACAATGTAAAAATCTTGGAAATGTAGCATTTATCTTCAATATACGAGTCATATCTTATGAGAAATGTTTTAACAGTTTATGCCAAAAAGGAGACTTTCAGGATCCTGTTAAAAGGCTTCATCCCTTTAAACAATTTTGAGCCAAGCTTTCCTTCGTTGCTTCTTTAATCCGCCAACTTAATGTGGGTTCATAAAATGAGTAGCACATTTTCATGACAATGCCTTCAGTGTGTGCCGATAACCATTCAACAAGGAGAAATGTATTCACAGGCCCCAACACATTCACTTTAGTGATGACCAACAAGACGAAGTGTGTTAACCCTGGTGGCGCCGAGAACTCACATATCGGCGCAATTCCGGTTATTCCTTCAAGATGGAAGGTCACGTGTCCCAAGGATTGGATTTCAAATTCCCCGTAGGATAAGAAAATTGGCGAAACGTTTGTTGGCTTCCTTGCTACCACCGCGATCGGATGCTTCTGTATGGCTTGAATTGGGCTGCAGCAAACATCGCAATGTTCAGATGGGTTTCATCCCTAAAAGTTGATGCCTAATGGCAGCTATTTTTTATTGTAGCTCCATCACCTTTCAATACATCCTGTAATGCTGAATACTGACACTTGACTGTTGAAAGTATTTTCAAATGGCTAATACCTTCATCGGTGAGTTATTAATTGCAAAAGAAATGAAATCAAACAATTCACATATTCATAATTGGCTTTTGCTAATATATCAAAGATTTGCAAGTTACTCCTGTTGCCGCCCTATTCAATTTATTTAACTTACTCAGAATATGCACCTTCGAAAGAGCTGACCTTGCACACGCTCGAAAAACGAAAAATCATTATGAATAACATCCCAATTATTTAATGTTTGATAATAATGGACTTTAAACACGGCATAGCGCATTGCAATATCTCGACCAATCTATACATTTTTAAGAAACTGCGGATAAGATCGACATTGCGTCGACTGATGTACGCTACATAGTGCTTGAAGACCTTAAGACAAAAATTTGACTCCAGTCGACGTACTATATCTTCCTATCTCGAATCCGTAAGTTAGTCCTCGGCCGCAGTACTTGGGAGAAGAGCTGAGCACCGCACCGTTAGGAGTCCATCTGCCGTCCTGCTCCTCCAACAGCATTTCCTGGGCAAAGGCGTCACCTCAGCTACATTAACCATTGACTCAAGCCCGAAAGAGTTACCTTCATTTTAAGACAGCGTTGCACCCTCTACGATATATGGTTTCGGCTTTCCGTAGTTTATTGTTTTTAGTTATCAAGAATTAAATTATAACAATTACAATTCGTGATTTTGGCGCTATTACTGACACCTCAAAACCAGTGTTCCAGTAAGCTGACTCAAAACTCCAATGGCATTGGTTCTGAAGAAATAAGCAGACAAAAGCGAATATTAGTCTGCACATTCGTGTATCCCCTCCCCTCTCAAAATTGGTTTCTTCTTGAAACGAACCCTCCAATCATCTGGCTAGTAATTCTTTACTTCACTTTTGACCATGCCATGTATGAGATGAAAAAGAAAGTGATCTAGCTGTGCAATGACTTTTTCTTTAAAAATATACCATTAAAAAATCCATTTAGCACACTAGTCATTAATGACTAAAATTTGCAAATACATTAACAAAAACTGCAAACTTATGTTTCACTTCACTGAGTACAGTGGATTATTTGTAATATTTTTTACTAGATGTGGTGATGACCAAACAAATCCAACTATTTACATAAAATGCAGATGTGCAGTATCTACAGTTTTCTTCCAATAGATCCAATGACTCAAAAGAAGTATCCCAGTCATCATGCTTTGCAACAGCATTTCCAACTCTTTCAATAAACCCTATAAGATTCTCAGAATAACTAATTTTAATTGAAATTAATTTCTTGAGTATTCTGCAATACTACTCCATTACTTCAATTACAAAGATAAAACAAACTTAATAATATGAAGTGTTTTTAAAACTGATGTTTAGTTTTAATGCCAGAGAAGAATAAAGGATCAAGCATGTGATAAATGCTCAATAAAAGATTAGAGAAAAATTTAAAAATTGACAATTTGTGATAATGCTAACACCATCTGAATTCTTAATGTCAATAAAAACAAGATTCTTTATAAGGCTTGATGATCTTGCGTAAATGAGATAATGCAGTTATAAACACAAAACTGCACATGTTACGCATTTCTATGCAATGGCCTACAAGAAAATGTATCAAATTAATTTCCTCATGTGTCAAATATCATCAGCCACTGAAGAATTTTCCAACATCAATCCAGTTAGCAGGGAAAATGTATAGATCCAACATTGTGTTATGTATACATTCTACACTTGTTTTAGCATTGTGCAGAGCTATTAATGAATTGGAGATCTTTTGACTATGCTACTATACTAAATATTAAGCACACAAATGTGTAACCACTTTTGGTGATAAAAATAAGCAGGAAACGTTAATTGGTAATATAAATTTCTAATGGCTAAAACTACATAAATATCACTTAGACCTCCCTGCATAACACATTTCACATCAAAAGCACTAGAAGGTAGAACATATCAAAAAACTCATAAGGTAAGTTTTACATAACTTGTTTGTCTCATGTATTTAACTTCAGTGTGGAGTTCAGCAAATATAAACAAGTGTCACAAGCACAATGAAAGGAAAAGTAAGTATGAAAATGAATGTATTAATAACGTTTTTTTTATTATTATAATTTTTAAGGTTTTCGTGTGTTGAGTGTCAGTATTCGAATGTTTACTTATCCTTTGTTTCTAGGTACTAGAACAGAAACATCCAAAATTGAATGCAATTCAAAATTACTTAACAAATTTTAAAGCAATGCAAAATAAGATAGAACCTACTAAAATAACAACCACAGTGATAGTGACTTTCTCCGAAAATTGTTCAGCATATTAAGGATGTAATATTTTAAATTGCTGCCTACTTCAGGTGGCAACCTCAGCCCACTACCTTTGACAACAGCCTTTTTGTTTGTACTTATGTATTCAAATACTTAATTTTTCATGAAGATGCAACCCGGAACAACCAGGTTACATAGGAAAACAATTCCTTTTATATCATAAACATGTTCTCCCAGATTTCAAAGTGTGAATAGAAATAAGTAAAAAAAAAAAAAAATTTTTTATATTTCATGCGACACAAATTCATCAATTTAGAAATATATCCCCCCTCCCCAAGATAAACTGTCAGTAATATCAGTGGCCACTTATTTGCTGGAACAAAATTTTTCAATTTTTCAGTGATTTGATTAATTTAATTTGAATACATTTGAAGAGTACATCACACTTTTTAAAACTTTTTTTAAAAATAAAAGACAAACTAATTCGTCAGCATTCTGATTTCTCTGTGATAAGAGTAAAATTTTTTTTTAAAATTCAAACAAATAAAAATTGATTCACTAATTTTTTAAGAAAGAATACCTACTTATATAACCGTCTCAAAAACTTCCCTGACTTAACAATTCTCCTACAAATTCCCTGATTGTACCTAGACTTCTTCAGAGCAATAAAATTCCCTAATTTTGGCAGTTTTTCAAGTTTTTTTTCAAAAGTGGCCAACCTGTATTACCTGGGAGTGGCAACTACATACAGCTATTCCACTTGAGAGCATTCTCAATAATTCTGTATTAACAGGATTTATTTTACCTCTCCTATATGTGACATGCATGCCAATTCTTTTGCTACTTTTGTAATTACTTAAGGTACAACCACTAGATAAAATGTGAAATACAAACTAAAGTAATAAAACAACTGCACGAGAGATCTTCACTTTTTCAATCAAAATTTTTGAGAAATAATTTTTCTTGTTCTTCTTTCCTTTGTTTCAGAGATGGGAACTGCAAAAGCTTTTTAATGTCCAGCACTACAAGGTAATGCTCTATTTCAATTATATATGCATGCAAAACCATTTCACTTCATTTATTTCAATTATTACCTTGAATAGTGTGTAAGTAATCAATATCAAGGGTAGATAAAGAGTAAATATAAAACTTCTCGTCTTCCTGAATTAGAATAGAGCTAAGTTTTCTAAATAAAGACAATCATGGTGCAGTTAAAAAAATTTAAAGAATCAAATGTTATTGTGAAAAAAAGAAGGCAGAAAAGGAGACTTTATTACTAATTAGGACCTTGTCATTTAATGGAGACATCAGAAAAGTACGCAGGGTTTCTCATCACTGGCAATACTCACCAAAAAGAGGTGAAGCTGCATTTCATCACAATTTTAGATGTATATGCATGGTGTGAAGTAGCAGACATGTATTTCAGTGCCTCAGTATTTTCAAAGGGTTGTAGAATTATAAGAAATTAAAGGTCATGAGATCAAGATTTTGATCATATTTTACAAATTTATGAATTAGAATTGTGCCCCCAATCACATAAAAGACTCCCAATATTGACAATGGAGAAATCCAATCATTGCTCCAACATGATCAGTATCCTCTGAATTATTTACACTTATTTTAGAGAGTTGATCTTGCAGAAACTAATTCTTTGGACATGTTGGGTACATTAAGCATGTATTTGCTTAAATAATATTGTGTTACCTTAATTTTTAAAATATCAGTCGTCAGTACACAATGCTAAAGAAAATGAGGAAATGAATGTTTAATTTATAATAAAATTCAAACTGGTTTTAAACTTTGTAATAAAAAATTGAAATTGCCAGCACATGCCTACTCCAATGTGCATAGATTTTCTTGGATTACAAGAGTTAAATTTATTATTGATGAATTTATATTAAAATCCACCAATATTCAAAATTAGAAATTGCAATTATCTCAAAAACACAGGACGAAAACCGAAATGAACAAGTAATTGCAAAACATCAGGGATAAGAATCTTCTCAGCTGACATGTTCAGTATTGTTAACATGTATTCCAAAATTTCCAACACTGAAGAAATCTGATGGATAACAGGTTGAGAAACTTGTGCAGCTTCATGTCTACATGAGTAAGAAATTATACCAAAAATTTGCGACTTCTGCTGTAGGAGTAATCCTTTTCTTTTCACCCCCTCAAATAAATAAATATTTACTCCTGAATTAAACTACCAAGTGCTTCAGGATTCCTTCCTTGACAAATATTGTTTCTGAAGATATGTCAGGACAAGTGGTTTTCATGTGATGTTTCTGTAATGTTTAAAATATATAAAAAAAGTTCTTCCAAAGTTGTCTTGACACAATAACAAAGTTGTCTTGCAACAAAGGTTTTCCGTATAATCTTCTGATATGTCTTCAATAAGTTTTGCTAAAAATGAATGTGCTATGTGTGATGCTTAAAAAAATATCTAACCATTATTTCCCAGTTACTAAAAACAGATTTACACTACAGTAGTGATACCCCAATTTGTAAGAAGACTCATGGGGCACAATGCTCATGGAGCCACGTAATAAGTTTTTATATTATATATATATATATATATATATATATATATATATATATATATATATATATATATATATATATATATATTATAAACAGTTTAGAAAATCAAATTGTAATCTTTGTATGCACAGTGAATTATTAAAAAAGCAGAAAATGAATGGTTTAAACTAATACTACAAATTGTTCTGTACAATTTAAAAAAGTTGTAGAACGTGTCATTAAATGTTTTAGAAATTACATAATGTGGTAAAATGTATTAAATGTATGTAAGCAGCGACTATTTACGCCCTTACAAAGAGGTTGGAACTACAAAAGTGATACATTTGTGTCAAATAAAATTGTAAATGGAGCAAAACACAGTTACATGATCAGAGGCACCAAGTCAGACACACATCAATTGTGATTTTTTCCCTTCACAATAAAGATTGATCAGCAACAAAGTATAGGAGAGCACTGAAGCTATAGTCACACACGTTCAGCACGTTTTATTTGCTGCTGTGTTTCTACTTTCACCAAAGTAAAAAGTGTAAAAAGAAATGTAGACTTAGAATTAAAAACGTAGAATAAAGAGAAAATATTCATTTCTTATATGCAAGCAGTAACAATCATTAATGTTTTTTACATTAAGCAAGTTTATATAGGCAAGATAAGTTACACTATTAATTCTTGACCTGTATCATCCTTTCAGATTGAGATGGATTTGCAAGATTCAATGCAAATCTTATACTTTCACTCATAAAAGTTTTCATGAAAACCACCAATACAGGACACATCACTGCCTAGTCACATTACAAATATTTCCCAATAAATTCATTAACATTCCATCTGCAGCAAGTTAAAATCATTAGCAACTGCATTATTTCGAGAAGAGAAAAATAATGGTAGCCTGCTTTAATTTACAAGGAAAATGGAAATTAACATTTACATGTGAAATTTAAACTTCTCATTAAATATAATTAGAATTTAAAGCATTTGCTAATACTATACTTCAATTTATTCAGAGCTGCATTTGAAGTAAATCAGCTGTTGACGGTTTCATCCAATTGGAAGCTTGAACGTCACCATAGTTACATCTAAACTCCTGATCGGATGAAACAGACAATAGCTGATTTACACTGAAAACAGCTCTAGATAAATCCTTCTATAAACATGAATGTTACAAGAATTTCCAAAGCCCTACAAAAGTAATTTGATTGAACCAAACTCTCACTACATTCAACAAAGGAACAGAGAAGGAAATTTTCAACCTACGAAATGAGAACTCTAAAAATCTTTAATATAAAAAATAAAATTAAAAATTGAACGTTCATATTACTCCTTGAACAATGAGACACCTTCAAAGAAAACAAAAATCATTATTTTCTAATAAAGAAAAGAAAAATGAGAATATACCCATTCCAAATATATCGTAGAGCCACGTCAAAAATATGCTTCTCAGAAAAACTGAAAATACAAATAAACAACGTAGAGTAGATGACATGTTTCATCCTCTGAAATGCTCCTTGTGATTTCTTTAAATTTTTTACTTTGCAATATTATGATTAAATGAAATAACTAAATTATTTATATTTACCCCACCCCCCACCCCCGTAAAGTAACCTGAAGTGAATTTTGCGAAGCAAAGGCAAGTATCACTGATTTATAATTTTAATCCTCATTTCAATGAATGAATGCTGGTGGCAAATAATTGCAATTCCTCACATGGAAATATAATTCTTCAAACATTAAAAGAAAGTATTAGAATATGCACAGAAATTGTCCCACAATTAAAACTAAATTTGAGGCAATGTACCAAAATAATAGTCCTCAAAATAGCCTTACACAAAGAGAATTGAAGCCCTGAAGAAGACAGTAGTCCATATGAAAACAAATAATTTCTTTCACCCAAGTCCATCAAAGCAGGTCTTTTATGAGATCACAGAATCCGAAATTCTGATCTTATCTTCTTCATAGTTCATTCCTTCAAAACTTTGAGACCTGTCAATAATAAACTAAGTTTCTTTGTGCTAAAAATTTTGAAATTTATTATGTGAATTTAGTATGGGGATACTTGTGTTATTTCCATATCAGTATTGTAATAGAATAATGAAAAATATTTATAAAACAAAAAAAAGTATGGTATTCTGCTTTGGTGTTATATTTACTGGCGCTGAAATTTGCAACAAAAGATGGCTTGTTTCTTGCCAATCAATGCTGCTGCAGTATATCACCTTGACACACTCCTTACATTCAAATGTTCAAAACAAGGGACATTAATTTTTAATCCCCCCAAAAAGTAACCTTTTTTAAGGACAACAAAAATCGCTGTAGGTTAGTGTTGTGGTAATGCCATTCACTGAAGTCTCAACAAAAGTAATTTTTTGTTCATAATGTTGCTCCAGTAAAAATAACTCAAGAATTTAATAAAGGAAACTAAAGGAAGGGATCTTGAGTATACAGCTGAAACTATGATGAACAGTATTTATCATAGAAGTTGCACAATTATTCATACAAGTCCGCCACTAATATTTTGATCTTATTCGCAAGCTGCCTTTCTTCCCAAGACACATTACAATGTCTGTTGTGTTGTCCTTTTGGTGACAGTTAACAGATGGTTAATTGAATTTTTGAAGAAATGTATCACTTGTACCAGCCCATGAATTCATGTTCTTCTCTTGCCTCATATAGCATGCATTGATTGCTGTTTATTACTGATTAGATTTACAGTCGCTTATTATCTAAAATGTTACATGCTGAATTAGAACTCTAGTACATGAGAGTGAAATAAACATAACATTTAAGGGGAGGGGAAAAAATAGGAAAAAGCTTACATTCCGGTGTAAGTTAAACAGGAATATAAATAATAATAAAATTTACAATCTAAATTTGTTTTGGACTTAAAGGTGTATTCAATGTTTTTTGTAATTTATTACAAACCTGACTTGTTGGAGAAAGACCAAAGAAGGTCACTTGGTACCACAAATTTTAAAATGTTATGAAGCCCTAAATTGAATAGATCACTACATAGAAAAGCTAACCCTTCTGTCTCTCTTGCCACAAGAACTGCACAAGAAATAAGGAATCCTTGGAGATATAAAGTTATCAGCACTTCCTTGTACTACCCTTTTATTCTGCCTATTTTCCAGCTTAACAAAGAGACATATGATTAAATTTATGGAATAGTATTAGTGTAAAGGTACCATTAAAATTATTCTCTAAAAGTGATTTACATTTACAGAAATTTTGCGCCAGTTTTTACTAGATGAGACACCGAACAATACAGAATGTGTTAACAAGCATGACAATGTCTAGTCTTCCATATCATCATACGTTGTTCACTTTAAAAATGTCAAGGGATCACAAAGAAATGTGCAAATTTATACTTTCTGAAGGTTAAAACCTCAACCGAGTTGCCAAAGCAAGAAAAGCAATACTAACAATAAGACTTGATATTAATACTTGAAAACTCAGCATGGTTGTTGCTCACTCCCACTTCTGATGATATAATTTATATTTTCATGTTCATCTTGTGAGTAGCTGAAAAATTACTACAAAAGTGTACAATAAAAATGATCTGTGAATACTTTGATTACTCATTTCACAAACCATGGAGTCACTAAAAAGCAAAAGGACGTAAATTTGGGGTGAATTCTATTCTGGTCAGAATGTAATTTCGGAACAAGTTGGTGATGAGTTCTAGTATATTCTGAGCAACTGAAAACTACTGGTTATTTCACCTCTACTATAAGTATTTTGCTCTTTCCTGTTTCTATAAATTTTCAAAAAATGTACACATATTAAAAAACAAAAATAAAATTTAAATAATTTACTATTAAAACAAACAATTAGATCAAGTTTAATAATTGTGTTCACTAATTGTGAAGTTTTCATACAATGGAACAGGCCATTTTCAAAATCATTAAATTCAAAAGGACGGGAAAAAAGAAAGAGGGAGATTGATAAATAAGGTATACTCGGGTAAATTGATCAATAATTTCAGTGTTTAAGAATGCACCTAAAATATCTGGCTGGTGCATATGGATGCGTGAAAGTAAATGCTAAGAAAATATTTGGGAATTTATCATTGAAAGGACAATCAAATGATGACAGTGACCTGTTGACTTGCTGTACCACTAACTTCATAACTATGTCATAACTTTAGTCCTTTAGTACTCTTGATAATTTAAGGTTTTTATTTCAATTTGTTCTTGCATGGAGATGATGCATCAACATCATGAATTAAGTTATAAACCTGTTCCTAAGAAACTTGACAATCCCCACATTATCCATTCATTAATTTCTTTACGCTTGTTTTGAAAACTACAGATGCTGACCACAAACCAAGATATTACTTAAGCTAGGAAAGGTCTACTCAAATTTTGCCCTTCATAATTTTTTAACATTTGATGTGTTCTATGAACTCCTAGTATGAATGAAGTTAGAATTCTCATGAAAAAAGCAAGTTCCAAATCATTTAGATTAAGTTCCCTTGCAAGTTTTAAATGTTTTCTTCTTTAAATTATAAACAATTCTCCATGCCAGTTGGGTTAATTCTTTAAAACTGCACAAGTAACATAAACCTGCAAAAAATGACCTCTCTCAAGAACTACAGTTACTTTCTGTGAGGTTGAAAAATCTGCAGAAAGAAAAATATGATGATCCAACTAACATTTGTTAAAAATTGTCCTACGTCTCACTAATGTGTAGTGTGTAGTTTCAGTTTTCCATGGGGGAAATGAGGAATTGGGAAGAATCCAGGGGTTTACCTTACAGCGATTCAAATTAAATCTTCTCTCTTCATCAAACACCTAGTTCTTAGATGGCAAGGATGAAGAAAGTCCTTATTTTCATGCAGAAGAACAGTTTATACGGAACACTACAAGTGATGTCTTCAATGGATACAAAGGTTACTCGGCATTACTTCCTGAAATAAAAAAAAAAAAATGTCACATTACTCCATACAAAGGTAGATACAATTCAAAAATTATTGTAACAAAACACTTTAATAGTACAGCTACTTGAAGTAATTAAGGAAGTTTTAGTATGTACCTGTTTAAAAAACTAAAAGCTAAATAATTTGCAAGCAATTGAATTTTAAAGTTCGCTCTTCATTTACACCACCTAAATATTAAGGTTTATAACCATTTAGTGGACTATTAAAATGTATAACTTCCAAAAATCTCTTGACCACTGGTGGATCCAGAAGGGGGCACAAGGGGTGCAATTGCCCTCCCTCAAAATGCCTAGAGGTTTCATCTTCCTTTATTTGGGAAAATTGATTTAAATATTTATGTTCAAATTATGAAATTATTTAAAAAATAATATTGTATAATGTGTCTCCAGTACATTCATACACAATATAATAAATATGTTTCTTATTTAACAAAAATCTGATAGCCCCATTCAAACAATCAGCTGAATCCACCCCTGCTCTTAACCCCTTCGTGCAGCAATTAGTACTGAGGCAAAACTTACAATAACAAACACTACAAGTATTTTAAAACTTTATATGGGACAAACATTTCACTTCATTTCAAAAATTTCTCTTTGACACTCCAAAAACAGCTCAACCACAGAACTGCAGTCGACTCCCCCAAAACTATTTACCGTATGGCTTTTATAATAGTAACCAAATATTCAATATGTTCAAGCTCAAAACCTTCATTGTATTCAGAGGCTTCAACATACTCAATTGAGCTGCAAAACAAATAATTATTCACTTTCATTCTACCTGAATTTCTATTGCGTATACTTCTCACAATCCCCATAGATTCACTCTGATCGGCGAGTTAAATAAAATTTTTAATAATCATTCAGAGATGGGAGAAGTTCAATCAAGAATTAAGCCTTGTCAAATTTCTTGCAATCTGCATCAATTGCAAGTTTCTTTTTTTCTTGTCAAGTCTACACACTTGTTCAGGAAATAGAACCCCCCCAAAAAAACGCAAGTAGAGTTCCTCGAGATCCATGCTTTTATGAATAACATTTTACCATCACGTTTCTGTTCTTAATTATTTCATGTATTAAAATTCTTTAAGAAGATAGTATTAAAAATTAACCCTAAATAGATGTTTGTTCACCTGAATTTCACTGCACAATACAAAACCAAAAAAGAAAATAATATGATCCTAAGTTAGGTTGTGTCCTGTCTCAAAATTATTAAAATCAGTACAGCTGGCAAGGAGGGAGCTGTCAAACATCGTTGCCTTCAAATGTATGCATGTTCACATACACTAGTGTCTGAATTCAGAACTAAAACTATTTTTAACTGTTCTATATCAAATTTTATTGATCAAAGCAACCCAACTTCAAGCAGTTCAGAACAACACATTAGAGATTAAAATTTGGAAAAAGTACTTGCAGAAGTAAACTATTTTCTCAAAACTATTATTACATTGATTTGCAACCTTTTTTTTTATGATTTACTCATAACCAATTTTTAATAGTACTTCAAATACATTGACTATTTTACAAATACCAAAAAATTGTAATTAATGAAGTACTTAGAAAATCATAAACATTCAAAAGTTCTTCAGCTCAGGAATCAAATATTCCAAATGTGCCACCAGCATAGGTGTATCTGCACATTTTTTCAACCCGTCTCTCTAAAGGGAGAAGGTACCATAAACTATGTTACCTCTATTTTTTATTCTAAATTAATTTAAACCTTCCTCTTTTGAAATATATCAATATTTTTCTTCTAAGATGGCTGGAAGTCCCTTTAATGCTTATTTAAATGTCCTACTGTGGATGAGCCACATCCCCTTTTTCAACACTGCATACAAGTATCAGTGTATGTGCTATATTTTTTGTCATTTTCAATGCATGTTGGCTCATTAATGACTTCATTAAACATGCTCTTGTTCATGCATTGGTAGCAT